TGTTGATATCCTGTTGTAGGTTGCCTAAGGGAATTAAAAGACGAGTGATGGGTAGTCTGACCAAAGGCAGCTGGAATTTCTGGAAAAAAACAATGGGGATTAACAATTGACATTTGGTTGTGGTGGTTGTGATAAATGGGCAGGTTATTTATCTGACAATGAAAAAAAAATGCAGTGGTTCAAGCTCATGTATTTGAAAATTCTTTATTCTAGAGATTTTTTTGTTCGCGGATGGGCAGGTTGGATCTCTGGCATCCCCCACATGCACAGAGTCATTTTTCACCCGTGCTCTATGTATGCATGTTAGGGTCTGGTCTTAGCGGATGATTGGGAGATTCAAGGGAAGCCCACAATGGCAATCATAGCCACTTGTGATGGTGTTAGGGATGGCCGGTGAGAGGCACCGGGAAGCAGTTCAGCATTACTGCCGGATTGGAGGCGATGACTTCTGAGTCAGGTGTCAGAGAGGCAAGCTGGTTCACACTCTACCAGTTCAGTAACATCGCAGAAATTTGGGATTAGGTTTACCAGATAACCTGATTCTTCTACTCAGCTCAGCTACGGATCAAAATGCGTCGATTTTGGTGTTGTGGTAGAGGAAGATGCAGGGTGGAAAAGATGCCAGGCCTGGCAAGACTCCGAGCTGAAGCACATTACAGTCTCTTGGATGCAACTTTACAGGGCGCCTTTTTAGGTGGGACCAGCCCTTGCCAAGAGTGGCGAGGACCCGGGGTTTGCAGTGTGAGAGGATAGAGATTGGCCCAGTTTTATTGCTGTGGGCCACCCCAGTCCCAAAAACTGGATTCACAGGACCACTGTTCTGAGGGTTTTAGCAGTGGTGATAGGGCCTATCACCTGGCATGGGTATGCCAAGGTTGTGAGTTCATGGAGCAGTGGGTTTTGCACATGACTAGCTGCGACTGTCTATGACCATGACCTATCTGATTGGAGAATCTGGTGGTCTATGATTGATTACTACCAGAATAGCTCCCAGTGCTATACGTATATGAGCACTAGTGGCATCTTATATGACCTTCATTTCTACAAAACTGCATAGTGGTATCTGATGATGGGAGCAGTTGGTTTGGAGGTTGGGATGTGACATGGTGTTAGATCATCTATAGAGGTCTGTTATCGATAGCACATTATTCCATCTCTTCAGTGCACGTTGGTATCATGCCCCAAGTGCAACTGGGGACAAAAAGCGTTTGATTATGGTTTCTACAGCTGTGAGACCATGAGTACTTGGCACGGCAGTGAGCAGAGTGGCAGGGTATATGTGTTGCCTTGTCATATATCGCCGAGGACGTCGATGTACCCCAGGGGGGGTGTAGCCATAGTGAGGGGACCAGCGGACATATGGTGAGCGAGCTTCATGTCTCAGGTTGCCTTTTCTTAGGCACAAACATCGAGGTCATATAGTGATGGATCTGGTGGGGACCTTTGCTGTGATGTTTGTGGGCCAATGACTGGTCAGATGCATGAGCGAGTGGATAGAGGTTGGTGTATGTTCTTGAGCGGCTGTGATTCTGGATAGCAACTGGGTACTTTGGAGGCGTTCCCCCGGTCGGTAAAAAAATAGGGGTAGCCTGGCCAGTGGATGTCCCTCCCGGCTATTATAATAGGAGGATGCCGAAAGTCGCCACGAGCGCCCTCCCGGCATTATAATAGGAGGCGCCGTATGCATTCGAGTGCTGATCTCCGGGCTTAAAATAGGGGGTGACCGAAATCGTCTGTGGTACATCAGTGGTTCAGGAGGCAGTTTACTGGGCTTAGGAAGCATGACCTATACTAAATCCAGTTGTTTCTCAGTGACTTGGTACATGGGTAGTCGCATGGGGGAGAGACCTGGATGACAGATGATCAATTTTACCTTGATAACAGTCGAAGAAGTGGTGACTTTTTCTGTATCGAAATTGAGGAAGTCTTGATGATGGTCGGAGAAAAAAAAATACTTCAGTATCAAAATCGAGCGAATTGGCCTTAGCCGGAAAAAGATCGGACCTTGGTAAAAAAAATGAATAGCATTGGTCTGATAAAAGCTTTGAGGTAGCTGGGTTGTTGTGGATCAGCTCAGTACTGGGACGGCTCTGGTGGCAAGAGCAACAAAAATGAAGTTCAGCAGAAAACTGGTAACCATGGAGAGAATGGAACACTAAAATTAGAGCCAAACATGATACACACTAGGTAGAGTATGTGGTTATATGGTGGTCTACCTAGCGCACTTGTACAATGGGCATTATGATTGTTGGACGACTTGGTGGCTTGTGGATATGCAACAGAAGTAATAAACTAAGGTGGAAACTCATTGAGCGTTTGCAGTGCTGGTTCGATTGAGGAATAGTGGAAGTATAGGATGGATCCTCAATTCAGATTGCATATGTTTGGTGATCATTACCCCAAATTATAATGGATATCTGCCTTTTTGTGAGTCACGGGAGTTGTAGACGGGGCGAGAGTGATACACCGGTGGTATGGGACACTTGGTGCATGAAGCCAAACCTTTGTCTCTGATTTTTTTTAGATCGACTCAGGCAGTTAATAGGGTGATGATTTGGCTTTAGATGCATAGGAAAGGAGACCAGTGGTCATACATTGGGAAATCTTTTGATAGAGTACATTGCATTTCTATGGGTAGAGACGTCCATCCATATGAAATTCATCTGGTTGCAAAAGGAAAAAAAATGTGTGATTAACTGATTGGCAGTTACTAGGTGAAACGGCTTTTACATGGCTATGTATTTATATCCATTGGGTATAGATTGCCAGTGGCTCCAAGTTGATCAGTGGATTATGGAGTTGGAATCAGCGGATTTTGGCAAGGAAATAGAGGAACCTATAGATAAAGAGCCTATTATATACAAAGTTGTTGCAATGGCACTAAGATATCTCAGTGACAGGGAAGACAAGACGAGAACCCCTAATATAACAATAAAAGGTAGTTTTTCCTGGATGTTTGAGGGAGTGTGTCATCCACACCATAGAAAAAAAATGGGAGTGTGGTCTATATAAAAACAAACCAGTGGGGTATTGACTTTATAGTTGGTGCATAAACTGGGCAGCCAAAAGAGGACTTCGGTTTTTGAGGGCGAAAACTACCCCGAGGGGGGAGTACTGTTGTGGAAACACTTGGGGTAGGTGCAGTGGACCATTTCTTTCTCTCATTATCTTTAGATGATGGTGTACAGCTCCATATTTATAGTATTATGATCTGATTTACCTCTTGGCCTTTGTTGTCTAAATATGCGGGTGTATGGGTGACTTAAAGGTGCAGAGCATTGTACTGCAGCCTGGATAATGGGGGCCGAGTACGGGGGGTTGTGGAGCTGTTTTGGTGGTGACCAGTGGCCCGTTTTGTATAGTGCATTGTGGTCGTGTCTTAATGTACTAGCACACTTGGAGGTGTGACGGTCGGACGGGTATTTGGACGCAAGGGGCGAATTGTCTGACTGTAATTGTTCTTCCTGGCTCACTGCCGACTCCCGCGGGGGCGACCGCGCGCCCCCAATGTCTCATGACCGTTGCTGCCACCGGCTGAAGGACACAGGCCTTGCGACCCCACGGCCCCGGGCCCTGCTGCGTACTCCGAAGAAGCATGCGCCCTGATTATGCCGGATCTGTACGCCATCGGGCGGAGATCCGAGGTCACCTGTAAGGGGTGGACCGGGCGACGGCAGGCGCGTGGCGGCTCCAACGAAGAAAACCACGTCAGTGGACATTTTTTGTTTACCCACTGAGTGGGACTTTCGTTTGTTCGGGTGGATGACGATCACCGCCCGCGACCTCCACGCCCAGTTTGGGCACATTTTCTGCCCCGGAGGTGCCTCCCGTGCCCTTGGAGAGTGAATGGGCAAACTATTAAGTACGGGGACCTCAGGTATGTGGAGTTGTTGGTGATGGACACCTTTGTTGTAATGTCTTGTCGTGTGGGAAACATGACCGGGTGGGTTCAGGAGACCGGTCAGGTGGAAATGACATTAACTATCTTGTTAATAGATTTCCACCCAGGACGGCGTTGGGTGGGTTGCGCCGAGTTTCGAATCGGGCGCAATCGTATTCAAACGGGTTTCTGGCCCTTCCTTGTACCTTGGGTCAGTCAAAGTACGGAGTGTCCAAGGGTCCGCCCGTTTTAGCGGCTTGGACTTGGCGGGCTTTGGCGGGGCTGAGCGGGGGCGGCTATTTAGGCTCCCCCCTCGGTCCCCCTCCTATCTTGTTTCGCACCCAGCCCTCCCGCCCTAGAGAGTGGAGTTCGGTTGAGTTGAGGGAGAAATCGGGATGGAGTGGATGACAGAACGGGAAAGGGGTGACTCAGGGTTTTCTGTCACGGGAGAAACGTGAAGTAAAGTACGGGCGAAGCGAAAGGGCAAACTGTTAAGTACGGGGACCTCGGGTATGTGGAGTTGTTGGTGATGGACACCTTTGTTGTAATGTCTTGTCGTGTGGGAAACATGACCGGGTGGGTGCAGGAGACCGGTCAGGTGGCAATGTTGGAACTGCATGCAGGGAGCGTGTTGTATGGATTTACCACATCCCCACTACATCACGTATTTCTCAAACCGTCTTCAATCCCTGTCAGCAAAACAAGGTAGTTGGCAGATAGCCATTGGGCCAACCCTGAGTGGACAGGCTGCCCTGCGACTGAGCCAAGCCCAGAATGGCGCCCATCAGATCGCAAGCCTTGCCCCTTTTGAGACTGGTGCCCAGGGCCCACAGCTCCTTTGGCCCATTCTCAAGCGCAGCCTGTGGACCAGAGGGCCCGAGCACCCCAAGACGGGGAAACAGCGCTTCACGTTCACAGCAAGGACAGCGACCTTGAAGAATTCACATGCGCTTGCTCCGGAGGTGGATGCCCCAATCGCACGGCCTATCTCCCTCCCGTTGCAGAAAGCTATCGCTTCCATCTCAGCATCGGGGCCAGAATGTTGCTCTCAATTCACATACTCTTGCTCCGGAGGGCGATGCCCCGATCGCACGGCCTATCTGCCTCCCGTTGCAGAAAGCTATCGCTTCCATCTCAGCAGTGCGGCCGGAATGTTGCTCTCACTTCCCAGATGGACTGCTTGGGCCACGAGCTGTGACAGCCAGGCGTGGTACAGGATCCCCCTGGCGCCCAGGCCGGCCACCACCCACCAGCTGCGTCCGGGCCCACACCCCTCGACCTGACCACAGTCGAGCAAGGAAGTACTGCAGTACATTCAACCCCTCCGCATAGCAACGTAACGCTTGGCCCTTTCTTGCTGAGAAAGCAACAAAAAAAATTACGCTCTCTAATGGAATTTGGGCGCAGCCACCTAAAAATGACAAAAATTAACGCTCTGCAAGAAAAATGCGGGCAACGATAAATTTTCTGATGCGGAAGATTTGGACATTTTACCGTATGGGAGAGCTGTCTTCAACAGGCAATGCTGCGGGGACGCACAGGACGCCACATTGCACGTGCAAGGGCAGCGGTTTATCGCGTCTTGGCAACAGCGGCAACAAACACGTGGCTGAGGAGATGGAGCATGTGACCAACGCACAAACAAAAGGTAGGAACAAGTACAATGGAGGAGAGGTCGACGCTGGGCAACATGAGCTTGCTTGGGTTGTTCTGCCGCCGCTCTGGGAGCCTATCATTGGCTGAACATCGCAGCAAAATTGCGTTTAAGCAAGCACGAATTCACACCCACACACCGCACGCACGGATGCACGCACGCACACACCCCCCTCACAACAACGACGGTTCTTCAACAACGCCTGTTGGTGCCACTTTCACACAATTTGATCACAGACAAAAACTCCGTGCCAAACTCAGTTTCAAGAGGGGTTTAGAAGAGCGCGAATGCAACCGAGCGCACAGCACACGTCACCTTCCCAACGAGGGGCACAGCGCCGTCCTCCGTCCGCGGCGGCAGTGCCCTCACCCCCGACCGCACGCCGGCGACGCCCCACTCCCGCGCCAGCGGCCACAGGCGCCCGGCGGCGGCCCCAAGGCCCGACACGTCGTGCTCGCACTCCCGCACTGGCACCAAGCCCTTGCCAATCTCCCCAAGGGCGGCCTCTGTGGTCCAGCCGTAAGTGCTCGTGGCGCCAATGACGAGGCGGTCGCGGCCGTGGGCGGCCATGTACGTGGGGCCCAGCAGGCTGGGAGCGGCCTCCGGGTACAAGGGGGCATCTGGTAGGCCGGTCGATTCCAATGCCATGGTGCAGCCCTGCATCAGACGGAGCTGTGTGAACACCATTTATCTATTGCCATTCATTCATTCATTTATTTATTCATTTACTATTTATTTACTACTTATTTATTTATTCCACTTCTTATTACGTAATATTTCTGTTTTTCAGCAGAACAAACAATCTCTTGAGTACTTCCTTCATGGCGCATGTGTTGGGGTGGCTCTCTTGCGGTCGAGCAGCACAGTGCCAAAAGAGTCAACCCATTCCGGAATTATCAGGCCAGCCGCGCACACTCTTTCTATCTGGTCCTGGAGATCACTAGCATTTCGTTTTGCATCATCAAGAAGTCTCACACATCATGCCGACGAGGTCGCCAGCGGCTCCCCATTTGTCCCGAGCAAAGCAGTGTCCACGACTTGTTCCGTGAGAACCAAAGATGTTGCCACAATCCAGCCGCTGAGTTGCCATGCGGCAAAACGCAGACACTCACGAATTCGGAACATCGCCAATCGCCTTAGGCCATTTTCTAAACCGTATCTCTGTTTCATTGCTGTGTCCATGATGCACTTCATTGTTGTGTTCGCGAAGTAGATTGTGCATTAAGGTATGGCGATTCGCCAGCTGGTGCCTTTGACGCCTATTTAGGCCCACGTCAGACAATATCGAACACTTTCGCGCGTAACCAACTCCACAACGAATTGAAAGGCGCTCTGCGGCAAACATCGCTGAAGTGGAAAGAGGTGCGCCCCAGCCCAGACTGTGGAATTTCAGAACGGCCGTGAATGGGAAAGAACTGATCCACATTAATGGGCAATAGGGCGCATACTGACGTGCAACCTATTCCAGCTGGAAAAGGCTTGATTAGGTTACATTCTCCAGTTCGCTGTCCGCCACTGTGTGGCATCTATATCAACAAGCTAGACAAGGCGCCTAAAATTGGAAACTTGGTCACCCCCCCACCCCCCACCCCACCCCCGTACCCCAGGCGTGGATTGTGCTCTCCCTCTATTGTTCCTTATTCTGGGTATCAAACAGGGTATGGAGTACTCATACCCTCGCCGATATCCTGCATATCGCATAAGATATGGGCACCATATCCCGGATACGCTCATCCAGTATACGCAATTTTTTCCGACGTCCCTAGTTGTTTGTCTCCTGCTTAGCTTACGTTTCTTTTGCTTGGTTTGATTATTAGGGTTTAGTTGTTTGTCATGTTTGCTGCGACTCAACCTGATGCACAATACTTAGTTTTGCCACCAACTGGTTGCAGAGGTTCGCATATTGAATTTCAGCAACCACATCAAAATAGAATATGCATCAATTGACAACAAAAGAACGACAGATCATTCGCGCATTGGGACATGGCGATTCCAATGGACACAGAACATGGTGAGTCCCTGCAAGGAAGCAGTTGGGCGCATAGCTTGGAAATGTACTCTCTTAGCCTTTAGACTTTGGAGACTTGCAATTGGATCGAGGCACGAGTCATGCCGCATGACTCCTCCGCCATGGCGCCATCTGTATGAGCCCACCAGCAGCGGCCCGCATTCACTACTAGTTCGAATATAAGACACACTGAAGTTATGTATTGGACAAATTTGCAACTGCAGTATGGACACAGCACCAGCAAGCAACCACCAGCGAGTCGCTCCTAAATTAACCACACCGAACTAACTGAACAGCAGAAGAATTGAACTAACTAAGCCCTTGCGGAGCTCACAGCATATGATAACGTCCAGTCGGCACGATCCAATCACATGAAGCCCTCCCATGGCCCACCTATTTGGTACACCAACTCCGCACCTGGCACAAATTCAAAGGGAGCATGCCCTTCAGTTCCTGCAGGGAATCCACTGTGGCCCCTGCCGCGACGATGACGGCATCAAAGGGTCCCCGAGCGGATTCCAACTCCTCCAGAGATGACACCTTCTCAACCACCAGGGTCGCCCTGCTGCCTGTGCGCCGCCCAAGCTCCTGCACCACAGAGGAAACTCATCTGTCACTTCTTGGGCTCCCAGCATCGACACCATATGTCAGCGCAAAAGCGGCAGGCAATTAGACAATGCCCCGTGTCCATCAGATTTAGAACTGACACCCTCAGGCTGTGACACCCGTGGCCCAACACAGACCAAGTTCACCATAGGACGCACTTGGCAGGCTTCCCACAGAGCAGCAAGATACCTCCTGGGGTGCAGCACAGCACCGTCGGGTATCCACAGACAAGCAGTGTCCTCAACCGCCTCATCCTCACGCATCCAATCACCAGCAGTGAGCCCAGGGATCAGACGTTGCGCTTCCTGCAGTGAAATCGCCAGAGGGTGGCCGTTGTTACGGCCTCCTGTCGGTGGCTTTATCTGCCTGAACCCAGAGACCTGCTTCCTGGTCTGTGCCACCCTGACAAGTCCATGCCGCCAGCAAATGACTTGAGCATCTGCAAGGTAGCACCAACTAGGCTGTTGGCTTGGGATCCACAATCACTAAAGATTCCGTGAATGATGTAGAAGCTGCACTGATGGCAGTCATTGCTGAAGATATGTCCATTGCTGCAAGTGCTTTGCCTTTTGCTTTTTGGAACTGATGTAAAGGCTGCCATCAATCAACAACGACAAGAACAGCAGGAGCAAGTCGCAGCACATTTGGTACACTGAAAACCAACAAACATTGTGCATGCCTCATACCAGAGTTCACCTCCATAGCTGCTCCTTAAACAAGAGGAAAATGAAGGAAGGCGAACAACGCAATTGCTCTTGGCCGTTGTTGGCTCTGTACATAAGTGTAAAATTTCTCCAAGCGATGCGGAGACAGAGTACTATCTTCGATCGTCGAGATTCTGTCCGTTTCCATATCTGCACCCCGGGGGAAAGAAGCTGTGAGTGCAACCATCCAGCTAGTGGACCGCGGCCAGAGTGGAATGCCCCCAAGTGAGGGAAATAATGTTTCACAAACCATGACATCTCGTCTGTGGAATGCAGCAAGGCAATATTTGTTTCCACCATCTGCGTGCAGGTATTCATGGGCACCTCTTTTGGGTGGTGTCTACCCTCTGAGCATGGCAAGATGGTCACTGGTGAAAAGCAGAACAGTGCCTATTCCACATTTTGGTGGCGGGTGGAGTGTGCCAGCACACATTGAACACACTGAGGAAACCATGGAATAGAGCGATTGCTGTTCTTTGCCACAGGAGGCCACAACTGGACATTGGAAACACAGTTGACTGGGAACGGCATAGTAAATTTGGAGCATCAAGCCCGCTTTCCCATTGTCCAATTTAGACTGATCTCTCTGCCGTGGGTTTGGGCTGACAGTACTTGCAGCCTGGTTTCTACAGCACACTTAGCTGGCAGTGTTTGACAGCCACTGGACAAGCTCCCCAGTGGCTTTGATTTCCAAATACAGAAATACTGGCAAGTTTGCCTGGAAGGATATTCCTTGTGGCTCTTATGACCACAAAGCAAGGTGAAGCACACACCATCCCCTGTCAGTCTCGAAGCTGCCGCCTTGGCTGCCTTGACCAAGTGCATGGCACTGGCCATTGCCTCTCTGCCACGCCACATCACCTGCAGCAACAGTGCCATGTTTCGTTGTCTAACCTGCCACCATTTCAACAAGACTGTGGGGATTCGGGGGCAGTGACGGAATCAAACTAAAATGCAATGGTGCATGATGCTTAGACACCTGAGGTCACCATGCAACAAGTGCTCTGGACGCATCATGCCTCACGCCCACCTTGGAACTCCATTTTGTGCCCTGAACTTTTGCACCTTGTGGTTCCCATTGGGCCACATAGAAATTCATATCAGGCAACATACAATTGGCCTGTCACTGTGTCCAACAGAACAACAGTTTTGGGATCCATCCATTCCCTCAACTATTATCAGCCCCCAAGATTCAGGACAACAGCTATTGTTCAAATTTGTTTCCATGGTTGAGGAATTGAATGAGGACCTTCAGACCAAAACAGATGTTGGGTCTGTGCCAGATGCATTGTGACATTACCCCGATTAGCATTGTCTGTTTGTCTTGCTATCTCTAATTGATCTCTGCAGCAACGACCAACATTTTCTGTGGAATTCCTTTTTCTTTCCTTTTCTGTTTGCTGGGTGCAAGTATGTGGATGTACATTGTTCTATGGAGTGCTGGAGGTTTGTTGCCTCCCATGGCATCACGGCCGCCACGTCCTTTGTTCCTTAAATGCCAGGTATTCGAAATCTTGATTGACTGATCGTGGCCATTTCTCGCAGCAAATGGCCACATCTGCAGCCCTGCCAATACACCGTGATACTTCTTGGCGGTGTTGCACTGTACTATACGAGTCTCCAAGCAAACACTAAGCAACAAGAGTGAGCAAGGACAATGGGAAGAACAACATCTGGACAATGAATGCTTGTGCCTGTGAACAGAACCCAACACTGCCCAGCATTAGCAAATCGGCACATTGTCAGATTTTCAACGACCGCCAATAATGTGGATTTGCACAACAGTTTCTAATGGTGTTGCTTTGGATGGGGTGCCCATCAATTGAACTGTTTCTTCATCCTGGCCATGAAAGAATCCTCGCCCTTCACGGAACCTTCACCTTGCCCTTCACGGAGTAGGGGTGCAGCAGCCCTGCAGAAGCGCCAGACGCCCCTGCTGCGATGCCACACATGTCGTAAACCTCAACTTGGACACGACGCTTGGCCATCTCCTGTCAAAAGCACATGTAAACACCCCACAGGTTGGCAATCTTCAGATAGTCATTTGCTAAAGTGATTCGTACCCAGCACTGCCTCAGACCATTCCCTTTCAGCTCATGTTTTCTAGCCAAGCCATGCTACGTTGTGGGTGTTCGTGCTCTGATAAGTCGCTGACTCGCACTTTCCTGCAGTGTGGTGTAGTTCGTTGATGCGAACCTGTGGCAATTCAAGTCTAGCACAAGTCTCGTTGGTACACGTGCTGGTCTGCATTGTGCGCTTTCCTGAGCCAAAGTTCTGCATCAGCAAGGGCATCAGGGATACCACATTGCTCAAATTTGTTTTCTAGGGACGGGGGCGCCCACTGCTCGACAAGTTCCTTTTCCTTGTCATCAGTCCTCCACCCACCAACAAGTGGTAAGCGACCGCCACGCCAGCGAATCCCGCCCCAAGCACGGCATATCTCTTCACGCCATCACCGCCTGAAACATAGAATGAGTCCATCGAAGCGGGTTTGCAAAGGGCAAATAAGGATGAACCCTCCCCACGCTCAGCTGAAACGCTGCTCTTCTCAATGCAATCTCCCACTCAAGACATTCCATAAGTTGACCCCCATTTAGAGCCTCTTGGTTCCTTCGCAGTGCCGAACAACGGCCAGACGGAAACAGGCAAATCGTCGCTCTTCTCAACGCAATCTCCTACTCGACACACTCAGGAAATTAAATCCCCCGTTCGAGACTCTGGCTCCTCCGCAGTGCGTCACAATGGCAGGAAGGCAGCAGGCAAATTGCTGCGGCGCAAGCCCCCTGCTTGGTCGCTCGCGACGAATGTCGGATGACCAAGAACTTCCGGTTCAGCCGCAGCGCAGCCAACCCCCCACACCACCCCACCCCCTTCCATTCTCCCACCGCCACCGATTCCCACACCGCTCAATCCGTGCTCCCCCATCCGCCCGCCGGCCCGCGGAGGATCGACGCCGTCCGGGCAACCGGTGTCGATTCTCGGCGGCTGCGTCAAATCGCCTCTGCGGCCCCATCGCCGCGATCGCGGCGCAGGCGGCCCCGCGGGAAGCGACAGGATCCCAGCCACGGTCGCCAGCCCGCCGCGAGCGCGGAGGGTCCCGAAAACGGCCCTGGCCGTGGGCGCTCGCCGGGGCGCTTCGCCCGTTCTGGATCCAAAATGGGCCCGTGGGCCCGCGGTCAAACAGGCGCACCCACGGCACCTAAATAGGCGGTGCCTATTTCGCGGCCGAGGGGAATGGGCCGCGGGGGTCCTGTTTGTGCGTTTGTTCGCCAAACGCTCCAACTTGGTGTGTTGGTTTATTGTGTGGGAGTCGGCTGGTGGCGCGGGGGCGGGATGGGATGTGGGGAGAGAGGGAAGGAGGCGGGAGGGAGGCCGAG